TGAAGGAAAACACATATATGCACACACAGAGTACCATTTGTTATTTTTTTTACCAGTTTATTCTTTTTAAATGCCTAAACAAATTCACTGGAAATGTCTTATCAATATATGTTACGGTTATTATCCCGAGTGGCCATGTTAATATGGCTGTGTGCGCATGCAATATGTATCAAAGCTACTTTGCTGTAGTTGAAAAAACTTGCTTATGGTTATGTATGTCACCTATCAGATAATGATCAAATATTTGTATTTTCTATAACAGCTGCCATCATAATGTGCCCGTATACTTAACCAGTGTGTTAAAATTAACATTTCTTCCATAAAAAAATGTTAAAAAACTAAACATATATTCAATTCAGCCTTTGTGACCATTACGTAAGTGGCAAGGAACCATTTAGTCATTAAAGGCCTGGCCTTGGAAAAGGTAAAAAATTCAAACCCACTGTCTTATTTTTCAGGAAATCATAAATTCCAGTCTTAAGCTGTGGTACAGTGTTGACTCCCACTACTACTGACAACAACTCATTCTATAAGTCAATTACCCTATTAGGAAAATAAAACTGTCTTAACTGGAGTGTTGCCTTTTCTTTCTAAGTCTTATATGTGTGTTTTCTCATCCTGTTATCTTCAGAATATGTAACAAGGAAATCAAAGGTGCTTATCCTATCAGTCCTATAGATATTTTTGTAACCTTGAATAATATCATTTCTCACCTGTTTTTTTTGAGATAAAATAATTTGAGATATTAACTTACATTTGTAAGATAACCCTTTTGTTACTGGAATCATCTTAGTAGCCCTTCTTCGAATCCTTACCAATAAGTCAGTATACTTTCTTTATCCAGGAGACCAAAACTCTACACAGTATTTTAAGTGAGGCCTAAGTTGTGATTTGTATAATGAGATAATTACCTCTTTTAATTTGTAATCAGTATGTCTATCAATACAACTAAAATTCTATTAGTGTTACTATTAACAAAAGAGCATTATTTCAATGATTTAAATTTCATTTTAGTAATAAGGTTTTTTTTAACAGCAGGCTCAGTGTCAGATGGGAGGAATGGGATTGATATACATATTATGTGACTTCTTATCCTTTTCAAAGCAAGTTACAAATATTCAAGTTATTAGAGCTCAGAATAATTTTTAATGTGTTTTACTTACTGAATTACAAGAACTTCTAAGTGAAGTTAATGAAGAATGTATAGTAATATATCAACCATACCATATCTGCTGTATAGGAAATCAAACCAATATATAGAGAGAAATTTAAGGAAGGATAATGCTAATAATGTAAAGTAAGGTTAATCATGAAGTTAGTGTAGAAAATCTTTTCAGAGACTTGCAAAGGTTAACAACCCTGGGATCGAGATTGATACCATTTGGCATTACAGTATTTAACAGTGCTATCCAATAAGCTTCTTTAATTTCCCTGTTTCTGTTAGATGTAAAATTTGTTTCTATACCCATAAGTTTAATGTTTTCAAGAGAGTGTCCAGGCATGTTAAAGTGTTTTGCAACCAGAAGTTCTTTATTTGTTTTTATTGTTGATTTGTGGTTATTAAAATCTTCCTGTATAGTTGTTTTGGTTTTACCTACATATCGAAAGTTGCATTTTCAGTATTGGATTAAGTAAATAAAATGTTTTGTGGAGCAGGTTGTGGAATTAGTGATTTTGAACTGCTTTTGGTTGCCTTTATTGGAAAATTTGTCAGTTTCCTGCATGAACTTACAGGTTTGACATCGCTTGCTGTTGCAAGATTGAGTTATTAAACTTATTTTTCTTAAAACATAGAACAGTAAATAAAGAAGTAAAGCAAACAATTATCTCTGCTAATTAACCTTTGTACTCAGTTGCTGCTTTTCATAGGTTGTTAAGCCTTATGAAATTTCCCACGTGGAGGATGTAAAAAAAAGTTTTTAAAAGTTTTATATATATATATGTATATATATATATTTTAAATAACCAAATAATCTTAAATTATTATATTGATACCATAGAATTTCACTGTAATTTATCCAGCATGGTAACTAAGCTGTATTTGGGTCTAAAAAAATATTAAATTTCAAGCTCATTAAAAACTTACCTCATCGATTGAAATGTTGTGTGAAAAGAATGAAATTAGCACAATAACATGTCAAAATGGCTGAAAAAATCACTAGGGGGACAATCTCCACTTTTGATTGGTTATTCATGTCATATATAGAAGTAAGTGTGTGTAAGGGACCACTTCCAAAAATGGAAAGAGGTGGTGGGCACTGTGTTTGATTCAGTACATGAGCAATATATTAGCAAGTGGAAAATATACGAGGTTCTTATTTTATATTCTGGCTTGTCAGTATCAGTAGTTTAAGTTCCTAATTCATACAAACATGTAGATTTTGTATTTTGACATCACAAACATATAATTTTAACCATTCAACATACCACGTGACACGCAAAAATTGATGTTTAGCTGTGTTCTTATGATATTTACCTTTAAATTAAGAAATTAACTAATGTATTATACTAAAAGTTGAATTATGTTGTACAATATGATACTAAAAAACTTATTGATGTAGCTTCATAAAATAGTTGTTCAATAAAATTTTCGATGCAAGTCAACAAACGCGATGACGCAGCCTTTGACACATGACCCATTGAGATAGGGTTAATATTTACGTGATTCAGGTCAATTTCAATATTTCCTTTACAATGCTTAGGGTGAGAAACATTGTTAACATCTTTTAAGAAGAGAAGAGAACATTTAAGGGCTCAGCCATCTCATGGTCTTCAACAAACAACCTTGCCATCAGCATCATTAAAGGCAGGGGTTCTGAAATTTCCCCAAACCATAACTTATCTAAGCAGCTAACCAATTTTCTGGGGCTCTTGCTTAATGTTTTTCTTTTTTTGGGGGGAGGGGTTGTATTATATTTTTCTAGAATTATTTTTAGGATCATTATTTTATAAATAATTTTAAAATCAAAATATATTTATATTTTACTGTGTCTTGTTCTGTGACCCACAATTTGAGAACCATTATATTAAAGGCCTAATTCCCATTGTAATATTTTGCCCAAATTTAACAGACTTAAAAAAATTCTTGCCGTTAATTTTAACATTATGAGCCAGCTATTCTCATAAACCTTTTGTATTTCCTAATTTCTTTTTTAACGAAATACCTAGCTTTTTTATAATTCCTTAAGTCTTCCAATCTGTATGTCACTTTAAACTTGTTAAACTTATGGCCTTTATCCCTGATTTTCTTTTATGTCTTTCGTAAGCCAGTTAGGTTTGATCTTCTTTGTTATCCTAAAGTTTCCTCATCTTAGGAATATGCCAATTTTGAAATAAAAGCAATCTATTTGAAAAAAAAAACTTTCCCTAATAATAATTTTCCCAATTCATTAATGATAAATCTTATCTCATGGCCTCAAAAATCTAAAGATTAGGAACTAAAATTTCTTCGAATCTAATAATGCAGTAAACACACTTTCCTAAATATTCACCTGCTTTGAATCTTGCAGCCATGTCATCATTAGTGGTTAACAATAAGGTTTTCCAATAACTGTATATGGCTGGAAACTATGCAGGATGAGTGCAACTTGTGAAAGTAGACTTGTATGTAGGGCTTTTAGAGTTTTTTCGTAAATGTTATATCATATGCTCAACATGTTCCACATACTCACCTAAGCAATACTTTTTGAAACTATCCAAATCAATAGCAGAGTAAACAATGAATACATATTCACAGAAGTTAGATATACAGCTTATCTTTCAGTCTTTGAAGGTATTATAGTAAAATAATAGCTTTCACAAAAATATACTAATATCAAGTAACTTTAGTACTCTATCAAAATATTGCATTATTTCATAGTAAATAAAAATTAGATCTTAAGGCCGTTTCCCAAAATGACAGGCTAGAGCTGAGACATTACATGTTCAGAAACTCTAAAATCTGTTGAACAGATAATACCTCTTTCTGTATTTTTCTTACATTTCAATTTATCAGTTTGACTGAAAATTAGCATATAATAAACCAGATACATTTTTAAGTATCGTCTTAATACAAAAAGTACATGTAAAACAGCTTTTTTGTATTAAATCTTGAATGTAATGTTACAAACCAAACTGGGTAAATTCTTTATAATTCTAAACCAACCAAATCTGTTAAAAACTGTTTTCTTAACATTCTAAAGCATCAGATGGTCTTCAAAAACACTAAAGATATGAAGGTCTTGTGTATAATTGTTTTAATATTGTCTCCCATGTAAACTAACTATTTGTCAAAGTTATTAAATAGAACTTAATACGTTTACAAGTGAGACAGTCAGGATCAGACTTGTATTTATGTTATTTGAACTAACTTGCTTGTTTTTTGTTGTTGTTTTGTTTCATGTACTTGTACACTTTGACACTTTAAGTGCCCCTCTTTTTTTTCAGAAATTATAAATTCTTAGTGAGTGTGAGATACATATACAACAAGATCTTGAGCATTATGTTTATATATGTAGTTTTACTCATGATATGGTTAACTGTTGAAATTTTTATAGTTTTTTAATATAAAACCAAGTGTGTATAGTATTCACTGGGACATATTCATGTATAGTGTATTTGCTAGTTCAAATGAAAAAAAAAAATATCTAATAGCATAAAAGAAGACATTATAATATTTATCACGTTTATCAAATATAGTTTATGAAACACATCTGCAAAATGCTTGGCTGTTTACATAAACAACACATCAATTAGGTTTAACTTCTTTTCTAATATTATGGAGTCATTGGACCATATGAGATTTAAAAAAATTATATCTGGAACATTGTAAATCATTTATTTTATTATTCCAAATATTTAGCATAATCAAACTATATAATAAGTTAAGAATCTTGAAATACCGTGAGAAAAAAGTTACAGTAAATAGGGATAATATATTTTGCCAAATTTGATAAACTTAATTTTAAAAAAAGACGATATATATGGTTTGTGTGTATTAAGTTATTCATTTTATTTTAAAGTACCAAATGGACCAAAGGATGAAGAATTTGATACCTGGAGAAATCAACCTCAACAGGTAAGATCTTTTCATTATTTTGTGTACGTTTGTGGACTAAGTATTTTGGAATTAGAAAATTATACCATGGAGAAATTGTGGTGCATCAGTTGAAATATATATGCAATGCATTGCATTATGGGGACTATGATATTTACTGCTTTTGAATGTTGACTAAAATTTCTCTGATGTATATTTTAATCTATTTTTGTTTAATCCTAAAAGACTGGTTGTTAGCCCATTTATAAGTCTTCTAAACTACAATATACAATCAGGACATCTCTTGAGGGTGTGATGCTGTCCATTTTGTAGCTTGCAAGGGAACTGAGTAAATACAAGTACAGATGCACCAGTTAGGTAGATCAGTAGTGTTGAAGTTTATGTAAGATGCCAATTGTCAAGAATTAAAATATTTGAAAGAATAGATCTTCTAGACTGCTTTAAATATTGAAAATTTTTTACCTGAAATAGCTACAGTTCTTTCTCGTGCCTAGTCCATTTAACAGTATCAAGAACTTGAAAGTACAGTGTGTTTGAAATGTTCAGGTCAACAGAGTACCAGCAATTACCTTTGTAATAAATTTTCAGTAACCGTACACCATCCTGTTTGGCCACAAGTGAAAAGGCACTAAATATGAGGCCTGTGAAACATACTCTCTATGAGTACATATGATTTTACAAAAGCAGCAATAAGCAAATATTACAACACCCAAAGTATGCTGGACAGCATTTTATCAGTTTCTAAGAGATGACAGGGTCTAGAGGCAGGAATGTGAATAATTTAATTGTGATTGTGTTTTTCCAATTGTGAAGGATGTTGTTACAATTAGCTGAATTTTGAAGGTGGGGCATGAGGTTTTTTCTATGAAGTGTTTACATATCTAAATGCCTAAAAGAACTGAAAACACACTCAAGGGGACATATCACAGGTTTTTTTTTTGTCAGCAGGCTCATGTGTTGCTGGCTGCTACAAAGCATATTTGACCTTTTTATAGTAATTAAGGCAACTTTTTGAATGACTCCCCAGAACATAGACTTTAACCTTATAGAAAATAGTTAGGAGTGTTTGCAGGAATTAATTCTTCAGATTTATTCATAACTTTCATATGTCTTTAAACTGAATTTTTCAAACAAACATTAAGACAAATTGCACCAGACTAATGTCATAATCTAGCTGAGAGCATAGTTTACAAAATAATTGTGAACATTAACCCATTCACTTCAGCTGGGACGTATATTTCCCAGTGCACTGGAAAATATACATCCCAGCTGCAGTGAATGGGTTAAGGCCCTGAGTGGTGCTGCATGACATTAGGACCCCTATATATATAACTTTGACCAGACAGTGCAGTATTTTATAGTTCTTGGTAGTTATCTTATTCTTACAGTTTTAATTATAAAGTATAAATAAGCTTTTAAGACATTCCATAAGCTTTAGCTTAATCATTTTCTTACTTAACTAAATGTTGTTTATTTAGGCATGTTTGTAGAGAAAAAGTTTAAAAATTGGTAATATAAGTTGAACCATGTTAACTATTGAAGTTTAGAAAGGATTTCTTGTTTAAGCAGATCATTGTTTTTGTTGTAGTGAAAAAGAAGGTTTGTGTAATCCATATGAATGAAGAAAATATTTTTCTGGGGCCTATTTAATGAAAATTTAAAAAAAATTACCCGTAGATGTGTGTGTACCTCGAGGGCAAAATTGCATCATTTATAATATATAAGAACATTATAGAAAATAATCTTGTAGTCACTTTTCCACACAGTAAAAAAATAAATTTCAAGAGCTGAAATCTAAACAGTAGAGAAAAGGGGTATTTATTTAATTTTATACATAAAAATAAATAGCATATTTTGAGATTGGGTTGATTTCAGCATGATATGGTACTCATAGTCCCCCTAAAAGGAATTTCATAATAATTTTGAATAAAATTGCTCTAATTTGTCCTTCTAACTTGAATATTAGTGTAGTTTCATTGATTTTTAGCCAATCATTGTTTCTCAGGCTGAGCCTCGAGAAATCTTAAGCTACTGATTTAAAAGCTTCATGAAATGTCTTTTTTTCTGTTATTTTCAAGTGTAAAAGTTAGTAAGGCTTCTATTTTAGCAAAGATTCATGTTGCTAGAAGAAAAGGTATTTGTGAACAACCACCATTACAATTATAGCCCTAAATTTTTTTAAAGCTTGCTTGATTGTTTTATATTTCATATGAATTATAATGTTGAAGTGTGATAAAAATAAAATGCCTTTGTTGAAAAGATTGGATAAGCTTTGTTAATGCATTTAACACTCAACCATATCAAGTTCATTTTGCTGACAAGATCACTGTTAGGCCTTATCTGCCTAAGTAACTGTTTAAATGAACAAAGAAATCACTCAAAAAAAAAAAAGAGAGAGACAGAGAGAGAAATATATACATATATAAATTAATACAAAGTGCATTTGAAACATTTATTAAATAAAACCTTTTGATTAACAATTTGAAAAAGGGTCTACTTGCTTATAATTTTGGTAGGTTAAAAAATTTTTTTTGTACATCAGTGATTGTAAACAAGTGAAATTGCATGTGTTGTTTTTTAAACCAAACCAAGGATAAAAAAAATTATAATTTTATACAATATAAACTCTAGGAAAGTATTAAAAGAATGTGGGAAGGCATAAAAGTCAGTAATTAAAATCTACAATAAGGGTAAGCATTTTGAATTGTTTCGTAAAAAACATATCACGATGAAATAGTTTCGAAAATGTCAAGGCTGCAGATTCGTACGTACATCACATATACCAGTAAGATACTTTATTTGTAGAAGCTTTATAATCTCTAAAAAAACAATTCTGAAGTTTCAAACTATATAGCTAGTAGTTTGTTTTTGCTTGTTTTTTTTGCAATAAAACAAACTATCTAACACCTGTGTCAAATTGACACACCAGTGTCTTATAAAGTAGCATAGTGGTGTAGTATAATTTGGAATACTGTGTTCAGATTTAGTCCCTCTACTCTAGGAAGAATATGAAAACTTGAATAAAGTAAAGTGCAGAGTTATAGCACTGAAATATTATCTGGTTTAAGAAATCTAGATTGCATAGAAATGATTAATGTTTTAGATTTTTTTTTTATGGAAGTTAGAGTAATATAAGATGACCTGATTCAAGTGTTCAAATCTGTTAAAGGTTTGAGCAGTCTTCTTACATGGAATAAATAGAATGGAAAGTGAAATGAACTACTGTGAAACATGCTAGACCCAATTTGACACCAAAACCCATATCATGATCAACTGAGAACAGCAGTTTTGAATAACAGCAGCAATTAGTAGCCTATCCAGATCAAGGACAAAAATGGTTTGGTGTAGTTTTTATATGTAAACTCACCAGTAGACTTTGTTTTTACACTGTTAGAAACCTTGAGCTTATTCATTATTCCAAACAAATTTTATACTCCTGTTTTCTTCACAACTTGTTAGAGGTTACAAGCTAAAATCTTGGAAACTCAGATCCAGATTTTTTGTTGACATAAGTTCATCTTTTAAAGTTATTCATGGGTTCTTTGATGTTAAGTTCAATATATTTGTGCAGTCCATGCTAATATTATAAAAACACTTAATAAAACATGAAAAGGGGGAATTCTGAGGTGTAAATATTATAAAGATTTATTTTATTGAACTGAATAGCTGTAATACTATGTATATTTCATGAATTTTTTTAAAACCCAGAGTAGCCCCAATGAAACAAATTTATTAACTTGTTTAATTGTTTGCCAAATTATATTTATAGTTTAAGCTTATTTAGACTTTTATTCAAGAGGTAGACATACAAGTAGAAAGAGTTGCGTTTATTTTTTATGCTGTGGTTGGTGGTCAACTGTAGAACAGATTCACATGGATATAATCTTCACTTTTAGTAACAAAAAACATAATCACCAGCATTATCAGCTCTGGGTGTCCTTGCTTATACTGTGTAGAAGCTGTTATTCTCCTTTTGGTGTCCATGGCCAGGTGGTTAGGGTGCTTGATTCGCACTCTGAGGATCGCGAGTTCGAATCCCCGTCACGCCAAACATGCCATGGGGTGTTATAATGTGACGGTCAATCCCAATATTCCAAAGAGTTGACAATAGGTGATGTTGACTAGCTGCCTTTCCTCAAGTCTGTTATTGCTAAATTAGGGACATGTTGAGTGGTCCATTGTATCTGTTTATACACACAGATCTGTTTTTAATTATACAAATACTCTCTTATGTTCCTTTCTATGTTTGTTTGTGTATTTCTTATGATCTTTATATTTTTCCAGTCACAATTACCATCTCAATTCCGAAAATGTTGCCATGTTTTATGTCATACTGGTGTTCTTTCAGTCTAGTTTTTAATTTCCATCTTGTTTGTCCTATGTACATTTTACTGTAACTATCATCAGTCTTTTTAGGATGTTTGAGTGTTTGTAAATGGTTAGTTTTTTCGTTGGAATGAATGCTACTTTGTAACATTTCAATCAGAATGCTTTAGTAATTTTTTTCCGAAATCTCAGGAAAAAATGGTATACTAAAGAACTTGTTTTGAGATGTTTTTAATGCAGTTAATTCAGAGTATTTCATTTACAGATGTTTGTCATTCATTTTTTTTAGAAAGCTCTGTCAATAATTATTGTGTCATAACCTCTATCTACAGCTTCTGCTTTTAAATATGTTTTATATCTGTAATATATGTTCTGATATTATAGTCTACATCTGTTTTACTTAATATTATTGTTTTATTATCCTTTGAACTGTGTCTAACTAAGAATCCCACCATACAATCCATGTGGTTTTATATGCTGAATATATTTAGACTGTGCATTATCAATGCTTGCCTGTTTCTTTACACATTTATTTACTGTATAAATAGTACATGTAACTTATGTTACCTGTTAAGTTAATTAAGTAGAGGATTTACTTCAAAAAGTGATATGATGAAGTTTTTATGGTTTATATTTACAGTATGTGCAGAGATCATGTTAATGCAAAATTCTGTTATATAAGCAGGAAACTATAATAACGGGTAGAAAAAAAAACACCGATGTGTTCCTAAAATCCAGATATAACAAGACCTACTGTTCAAATTAAATTTTTTTTTATAAAACAACATGAAAAATGTTCCACTGGTCCAAGCATTCTTTAAAAAAAAACCCTGATCATATATCAAAAGTCATAGAAATTTGGTAACAAGAAGGAAAATAACCTTTTATTAGGCCATCTACCCACCAGTTGAGAATTTAAACATTGTTGTCATCACAGTAAAATTAATGTTATTTGGTTAGACTCTGGGTTTTCTTGTTGTTTATATTCTCTGGTTTTAACCTTTCATAAAAGAAAGTTATAGTAATTAAACCTTTTATGCTACAGAATATATTAGTTATTTTAATATTTGATGTTATTTAGGTTAGTGTAGTAATATTTGGTCAACATTGATCAGTTCACAACTGTATTATTGTAGTAGATGTTACTCTTCTTTCATGTAAAAAATACTAAAAATTCCGTTACTTTGTTACACGGCTAACTTTAAAAAAGTTGACAAGTATCATAAAATAAAACATCACTGTAGTTAGAATGGAGACGTTAAACAGTGTTGTTAACACAATAATTCTATATTATATGAATAGACCATGGGCACCCACAAGAAGGGGCAAGGGGGACATTTGCCCCCCCCCCCACCGGATTTTAAAAAGTAAAAAAAATTACTAGATATGTAAAATTATTCTTCTGTGTTATTGGAAAATCATAAGATATTTGTATTTCTATTTAATAATTTTTTCAAACTTTGAAACTTGACCCCCCTAATTTTTTCCTGTGGCCACCCTTGGAATAGACTGTCTAGTTTTATTCTGATTCATTACATGTAAGATGAAGTTCTAGTTATCTAAACTTTTATTTTACAAGATTAATGGATGCTATTCTAATTTTTTGTCTTTAAGTTTAGGTTATTGAAGAATATCCAAAATACTATATTTTTATTTTTGTTAAATACACTTTTGCTTGTTAAGCGAATTATTCATTTTTATAGTTCATTCATTTGAGTAACTGCGTAGTTATAGATAAAATGCTTAAGCCTTCAGTAATGTGGTAAACAAGCTTTGAACATGTAAAAACAATACAGAGATGTCTGGAATGAAACATCTGGAAAAATGTACACAGTATTGTTGCAACAGGTGACTGATAAGTGAATATATCTTTCGTCGTTCTAAACGTTCTGCAATACGTATAGCTTTCAGATATCCAATATTTCATATACTATTGTGTATTTGTGTGGTGTTAGGCCTTATGCACTGTAGGTAATGTTTTACTGTTTGCATGTTGACCTAGTTTACCTGAAATAATGTTGCATCAGAAATTACTATTTTGATACCACATATATAAAAAAAGTAGTCATTATGGCCGAAAATGCATATTTTTTAGAAACAATATGTCTAAAAAATTCAATTTCTGAAAGGCTATGTGATATGTGATATTATACTTACATTTGTGATTTACCAGGTAGAAGGTATATTTTCTATTGGTTTTACATATATATATATATATCCTTGCACAGTATATATTTCAAGTGCAATACTGTTGATCTTATAATAGCGATGACATGGTAATTTCAAAGTTGTATTAAAAAATAATTAAGTAAAAAGAAAGTACTTGTCTGATGGGTAAAATATAATGTTAAACTTTATTATACCGGATGTTGGGTGACATGAATTGGCCACCCCTGATTAATCCTAAACCACTGTGATCAATTTCACTATCTTCATAATAGTATTATATTGTTTTTTGACGTTTAATTATAAGTAGTCTAAGTCAGTTAACTAGCTTTCAAAACAGTCTCTGACCAGTATTTATTAGTTAACAGAAATGCTGCAATGAGGGAGTGTCATAACAAGTAGTTGTTCAGCATTAGATAAATCACCCTATTTAATAATAATATACCCCTAGTTAAAGTTTATTAATAGAAGAAAATCTCTACATTTTGTATGTGTAGGTCAGTAATACTGGGCAGGATTTGGAAAATTTGTGTATTACTAAAACAGTTGCTGATATTGTCAACAGCAGTGGATTTTAAGAATATAATACTAATAATACTATAATTTTTCCTTTATCACATTCTTTTTGATTGCCAATTTTACTATCTGTTATTAGTGTTTTTTCATTTTCAGGTTATTAATCCCATAGTTCAGTAGTTACATAGTTTGATGTTTCTTGTTTTTTTGTTATTTTTTATTTCTATAGGCATATAATGCAGCTATGTCATCATCTAGCATGGGAGATCCCTACATGCCTGGTTACTACCCTTCTATGTCTTTTCCCTATTTGAATCAAGGACTTGGTGATGGTGCATGGAGCAATGGTGGTGATCCTATGACTTTCCTTGGTGGATATGGTGGACAGATGGGAGGTACTGACCAACATTCCCACTATATGGATGGTATGTTTGGTCAGAATAGCTTTACTGGTTACAGTCAGGGTTTTAACTTCTTTCATGGAGGGAGTGGTGACTACTCAGCTTGGGGCAACTCAGGCATGGGAGGATGTAAACCAGGGCCAGCTGGACATGGCTATCATGAAGACTACTATAGAGATGCATATGAACAGGTTGTTGAACGTGGGGCCTTAAAACATGTGGAACAGGGGATGGGGGGATTGTCTCTTAGTGAACACAAAAATGAAATACAGTTTTCAAAAGATGGTTATCTTAAACCAGGAATTGCCTCTGGACAAGGGCATTTGATGACTGACCATCAACTGGCAAAGAAATTTATAGCATCCTCAGTAGACCCTCTCTCAATGGGTAGACCTATCCCCGGTGTTCTAGGGCAACCAGTGGGCTCCAAAAAGATGTCCTGGGCATCAGTTGCCAGTCAGCCTGCTAAGCCACAACTAAAGAGTAAACCCAAATCCATTCCTCCACCAACCATGTTGCATGGAAAACACAATACTACTAGCATGGACATTGGAACATGGGAAAGTAAAAATGGAAATGGACCTGTCAATGGGGGGAAAACAATGCCCCCATCTTCACAGACAAGCTCAGCTACATGGGGTTCTTCCCGTGGGAGTCGGAATAATGGCACTTCAGGACATGGATATGTGCCACCTCAACCACCACAGTTCCAGCACATTGCATTAGCTCAGAATCAACCTTCAGTGGGTAGTGATGAGTTTCCTTCTCATCCTGTATTGGATAAACTTCGTATGGAAAACAATTATAATCCTAAAGAGTTTGATATGAACCCTAAAAATGTGAGATTTTTTATCATCAAGTCATACTCTGAAGATGACATACATCGATCTATCAAGTACTCAATTTGGTGCTCTACGGAACATGGTAACAAACGACTGGATGCAGCATTTCATGAGCGTGAAGGAAAGGGCCCAATCTTTTTATTCTTCAGCGTAAATGGTTCAGGACACTTCTGTGGAATGGCACAGATGGTCTCAAAAGTAGACTATGGTGCCTCTTCAAGTGTCTGGGCTCAAGACAAGTGGAAGGGACAGTTTAGAGTCAAATGGATCTATGTGAAGGATGTGCCTAATTCACAGCTCCGTCACATCAGACTGGAGAACAATGAAAATAAGCCCGTAACAAACTCTCGTGACACTCAAGAGGTTCCAGTTGAGAAAGGTAAACAGGTACTGAAGATCATTCACAGTTTCAAACACTCTACCTCTATCTTTGATGACTTTCTTCATTACGAAAAACGCCAAGAAGAAGATGAACAGCGAAGAACTCAGGTATGTTAGTGATCTTCATAAATTTTAGTTTATTTATTTTCAGTAGGTGTGGTAATCCTGATTTGATTTAGAAATAAGCTAAGTTCAGCTTTCCTGGACATAATTTTTCTACATATATATGGATTAACTTGAGTACAAAAAAAGGTTAATTTCTGAAGGAAATGTTACTATATAAGCTTGTAAACTAAGTGAAGATAATTTAAAAAAACAACAACATTCATATGTTAATTTTAAATGAAAGACAACTTTGCACTGTTGAGAGAGTGCTGGTTATACGTACAGTTTGTGAGATATGAGTGTGTAGGTAAGTAAATATATGCATGCTTATTATGTTTAGAAGGCATGATTTTTAATTTTTTGATTTTTATTTTTGTGTAGGTTTTATTATTTAACATTTATTTCAAATATAAAGAAAAAGTACATAGTACTTTTAAATTTTTCAGTGTAAAAATGTTGGATTTTGTCAAATGTTTTTTATTTTGTATTTAAGTATCGGATATTATATCTTAATGTAGATTTTCTTTCATAAGAAATAGGTTTGTGTGTTCTGAGCAAGTTAAACATTCTAAACCATTACATTTCATTGTGTTGATTCTCTGTGTGACACTTTGATGATACTCAAATTTGATGTGAATTTTTTTACTTTTATATCTGTATTAAATAGCTTTCTGAAAGCGAGTAAATATAATACTTTATATGATCTTAATATCAAAAAATTAATAATTTATAAAACATATTTTAATAATTTTACCATAGAACACTGAAGAGCCAATGTAATCCATTATGTTATCCTGTTGTGATTGAGAGTTATTTAATTGTGAAGCTTATTAAAACTAGCCATTTCTATCTTTACAACTCTTGATTTGGTGTATGCAAGAGGTGTAGCTGTTCATGGTTTTATTTATTTATTTTATTTTTTAACCACTGAGTACTTATTTTGGGCCTAGCTGTATTTTTCATCCAGGAGTGCATTAGAATATTTCATTTTTGACCTTTGTAGTTTAGTACATGTTTTTGCTTTTTAAAGAGGAATTAAAAATACCCATGTTTTGATATTGCTGCATGTTGTAATAAATTCTAACTCCTTGAACAATTCATACAACTATTTTGAATATATTTTTACATTATATTTTCCTTCTTTTTTTTTTTTTAACTTCGAGCTCATTTTGTCCTAATGATAGAACATCCACCAAATAGTAGACGAAGCTGTTATCATTACATAGCTTTTGAAAATATAAATAGTCAATATTTAATGTGAGACTTGCTTTTGATCCGTGGCATTGAATACACAGGTAATATTAACAAATTATAATTTTGCAAAAACCAAACATATCAGTTCTTCATATTTAGATGAAAATTTATATCATGTTTTAATGAAACCAATTGCTTTTTTTTTAGTTTGAAAATTACTGTTAAACTTTACCAAATTACTGTTTTGTTGGCAATATCTGTATATTTAAAGTATTAGTTTTATTTATTTTTGGGAGGGGGGATTTTAAACTGAAACTAATGTTTCAGTAGCTGTCTTAAATCAAAAGTTAACTGTACGTACAGATAAAGCAGAAACATTATAAATAGACCTTTGTCACCTTACCTGAAGATCATGATTACCATTAGTTTGATACCCCCTTTGAAGATTCGAGAAAAAAAGAAGCAAAAGATAGGTGTTATCAACATTTAACACATGATTCATCATAACAAAACGAAAATCTCCTTCATCACTTATTCAATATTTTATGGTTACACTATTTTGAAATAACTTAGATTAATCATTACAAGAATTTATATTGTAGTTTAAGATAAATACATTTACATACTTAAAGATTGGTAAACTGAAAACTTTTTTATTAAATTCCTAGTTGCCATTTTCTTTCCTCGCAGTGATTTTCCATGTCATTTTGTATTTGTCATGGTAGACAAAAAACAGTAAAATATCAGAAAATAACCATATAAAACCATCATGTGTTTTTTTAGATGCAACATAGCAACTCATAGAATGGCTCTGAATTTGTTTATTTTTTATAAAGTACAAAGTTTTAGCTCATAGCTCTGGCATCTCTTGACCGATTTTACTTCTAATTACAGTTTTGGACTCGGGTGGTCAAACCCTTTAAATTGATATATTTCACCATGCCCAAGGTCTTGCAGATTAATTTTCTCTAATCATGCATAAAAGAATTTCAAGTGCTGCAGATATTGAGGATTCCCTCCTTTTTTTTCTTGCAGTTATTATATAATTGCCCAACTCTGTGAACCTCTTGCAACATTGCTGTACATCATATTATGATTGTCACCATTGGAGGGGTTCACATGTGCTCTGAGACTACTAACTTTGATCTGTTTCCCAAGTGATTTAAAATAATTTAAGATTCAAGTTGATCAATCATTCATGCTTAATAGTTAATAGAAAAAACTGAATCTAAACTGTGTAAAATGTAATTGATATAAGCATTTGTATATTTGGTACTACTGTACAACTAGAAATAATTTTGTAATTTAAGAACTCTTATCTCTCAACTTAAATTGCTCTTCAAATAGGAAATGTTTAAATACTTGAAAGGAATGACTACAATTTTATAGTAAAAAATAAGTTTTATAAACAGTGTCAGTTTAGTTTTCTTTCATAGAATGACACATATCAAAATTTAATGCTTATTTATATGCACACACTACTTTTCAATGAGACTGTTTAGGGTTATGTTGTTGTTGTTGTATATTAAATGTCCTGTTACCACCTGTAATGCTAGAGGATATTTTGATGTTTGCCTAATGAGTTACGGTGAAAGCTGCTTCACATTTGTGTAAATTGTTATACATGAAAGCCTGGTTGTGAAACATGAATGATGGAAATGTTTTTAGAAACGAAATACTTATCCAAATTGTGAGATCATTTATGGCCAGTTTATCAGCTGTTTATTATGATATGTAATACATTTGCATATTCTATCATTCACCCTAATGAACCTCAAATACTATCAGTAGTTTCTATGTTTTATGACAGGGGTCTCCAAACCTTTTTGGACAAGGGCCGGGAGGTAGATCTTTTTAGGCTTCGTGGGCCGGAGGGGTTGTGGTAAAATTAAGTAGGGATGCATGCATGATCAGATTGGCTTTTACTCAATTATGTTATATTTTTTGTTTTCATAATATTAAAAAATGCTATCATTACTTTAATAAACTGTTGGCGGGTTGGATGCGATCTGCGGGCCGTAGTTTGGAGACCCCTGTTTTATGATGTAATTACAAGGTGATATCTTCAAGTGTTCATTCCAGTATCAATTCATAGATAAAAAATTTTTGTTTACTTTAGATTAAAATGAAAGTATGTATATCATCATAATTGATTAAGATGAAAGTTTTGAGCCTCACTTCAAGTAAGGCATGCTTATGTGTTTAACATCAATTTCAATATATTATTTGCACAACCTTTTATATTGTTTAGAAACCTGGATTTATTTGTTGCAATTTTGCTGATCCAATATCATAATTTTAATGTAAATATTGCATTTGAATTTGAGAGCTGTAACAATATATCCAGATTTTTTATTCACAACTGTTTATATCAGTTCACAAATAATTAGTACCTACATTTTAAATTATTTCACATAACTAGTAGTGTAAACATTTGTTTAAAAACCACCACATTCTAAGAATAAAGCAAAATTATTTTTTGGAGCCTGTCTGATGGACCTTCCATAGTTCTGGGAAAATGAGAGTTTACACACTAAAGAAGTGTTTTACCAAAGAACCAAGTACATGAATGATGTAATATTTCTTACCAGTTATTAAGTAGGTATTTCAGTAAATGTATATTGCATTAATTTCCTGACTTATGTTGCTGTTGGCACTGAATACAAACAAAAAGATTATTAAATCCCCTCTTTTTGTTTTTAATTTGAAATTATTTAGAGGTGGTTCCCAACATCTTTTTTTTTTAGCTGAGGACTAGCTTATTCCGATCTCAAAATTTTTTTAACCACTTTTTTACAATATTGACTTTTATATTATATCATAAAACAGCGTAGTTGACATTGTGTAGAATTGATTCCCAACATTTGTTTCAGCTGAGGACCAGCTAGTTCAATTCCCAAACTTTTGTGGACTGGTTTGTACAATATCAACTTTTTGAAGTACTTTTATATTCCACTGTAAAGTAGTATTCTTCAGAAACTATATTTTAAAATGAATGTTTTTTTGTTTTTGTTTTCAACTGTCTTGTGGACTGACTAAAATCACTGGTACGTGGACTGACAGTTGGGAACCATTGATCTATAACGTGTATAATTTAATTGCAGATGTAAAGTAATTAAAGTTAGGGACAGCACATAAGCAGATAATTGTTGACTGAACTTGCCCTGTTAAGTTTAAACATAAGTCCAAGATAATTTTGTCCTTTGGTTTCATTAAAAAATGGCAAAAAATTAAGTATTAAGTAAATCTGTTTATATGTTTGTTTGTAAATATATTTATATGTAAAACAGTAAATGTGTTGCTTAATGAAAAGTGTGAATGGTGAAATAATCATGCTAATTTTAAAAACAACAAAATAATACAAAATTCTTATTTTCATTGTCTTTATGTCTACAAACATGAAACAACATTTCAGTCAGTTAACATTTTGTGCTAAGTGGTGAGGGCTTTCATAAAGACATTGGAGCACTAGGAAATTGGGGAGGGGGAATGGCAAACCAGCTTTTGTCAAACAAAATTTTGTGATTTTGATATACATCAAATTTAGTTTCTGTAATTATAATAATTAATTTAGTAATATGTTTTATTGTCATTATTATAATATTTGTAAATATGGTTATCGAGTAAAGAATTTAGTTTAATGAGACTTCTTATGGAAAAATTGAGGTTTCCATCATCACTTTGAAATGTGATAACACATCTTGAACAAACATCTATTCAAAGTCTTCTTTTATGACAAAATGAGCAGTGTCTGCAATAACACCACTGTTAGACTAGAATATACTTTAGACGTACAACTAAATTAAGCC